CCTGCTTGTCAGTTTTTATGTAGTTTCCTTATTCACCAATGTTCCTGTACCTGACACCATCGCAATCATTGAAGACTTGGTTCATCAAGGACTAAACACTGAGGTACCCCCCCTGGTGAGACACTGTTTAACCAATACATACTTCACTTGGAATGGAACTTTCTACAAACAAACTGAGGGCACCCCAATGGGCTCCCCCTATCTCCAGTTATAGCCGACATTTTCATGGAGAAATTTGAGACTGACGCCATCCAGACTGCCACTCTGCGCCCAACCTTATGGAAGAGGTACGTGGATGACACTTTTGTCATCTGGCCACATGGCCGGCCTGCTCTAGACCAATTCTTCGACCACATCAATTCCATACACCCAGCCATCAGATTTACCATGGAAGTCGAAAAAGATGGCAAACTACCCTTTTTGGATGTCTTAATTAAAAGGAGAGCTTATGGTTCAATGAGCCACTCTGTCTACAGGAAAGCTACCCATACAGATGCTTATCTGAAACCGGATTCCCACCACCATCCGTCACAGAAGAACTCTCTCATAAAGACTCTGTATCATAGAGCCCAATGCATATCCGACCAGGAACACATAGGCAGTGAACTCAAGCACGTACACCAAGCTCTTAAGGCTAATGGTTACTCCGACTATACAATCCGCAAAGCTATCACTCAAACCATGAAGAAGGACCCTGTTGAGGAGCCTATCAAAACCATCACTTTACCCTACATTGCGGGGATCTCAAAAAAGATCTCCAAAATCTTGAATAAACACAAGATCCAGGTTCGTTTCAACACATTACATAAAATCCGTGATCTGGTTCCGTCTGTAAAAGATGTGATTGTGGACATACAGTACCCTGGTGTCTACAAACTAAGTTGCCTCTGTGGTAGTAGTTACATTGGAGAAACCAAACGCCATGTCTCGGACCGCATTCGTGAACACAAAGCAGACCTTAAACACGGTAGGACCAACACCTCGGCCGTGGCAGATCATTGTTATAATTCAGTAGGCTCACATGACATTGACTTTTCCAAGACAGAGGTTCTTTGTAAGTCATCTAGTTACCATGAGAGATTCGTTCATGAGGCTATCCACATATACAAGCACAGAGACAATTTCAACCGAGAAGATGGATTCTGGCTTAGCAATCATTGGAAAGATTTGATAAACCATTTCAGGTCTTAATTGATTGTTCACGCTTACAGTGGCTTTCAGACAGCATACATACATTTTTCGTCTCCCCCCTCCTCTTTTCAAAACATAGATGGACTAGTCCTTCTAAATAAACTGCTAAATCGCTGCGCATGGCGCTGACGTTTTTTTAAAATAAATAAATACACCGTTTAAAAAATATAAATTTAATCAAACCGACACACCCGATGACGACCGTTTGTGTTTTGGTCGAAACGTCGTGAGAATTTTTATTGTTTTATATATTTTATTTTTTTATTGTTTCCCTTCAACATGACTTTACCGAAAGAGCTAAGAATACTAATATTAGACTATAATGTTGGATTATAGTGCAAAGTTAATGAGCTTCCATAACGCATAAGAACTCAGATTAGCATGTCGGATTAGAATATGTATTTTAATGAGCCGGTTAAATGTGTAACAAAGAATAGCATGTTAAAGTGAATGAGAAAAACATGTCAAAGTCAATGGGCAAAGTTAATGAGAATATCATGTTAAAGTCAATGAGAGATGAGCAAGTCGATGCAGTCATGCCGGTGGTTGCATGTCCATATGTGACAAAAGCAGCCGTGTTAGCGATCCAAAAGATGGCCGTGCTAACGCGTGAGGGTGCGGAGCATGCTCCTGCTGCGGAGCTCGCTGCTACTGAGCTCGCTGCTACGGAGCTCGCTGCAGCTGCGGAACTCGCTGCTGTGGAGCTCGCTGCTGCGAGGTTGGCTGCTGTAGAGCTGGCTGCTGCGCTGGTTAATAACGTCCTTCCAATGATTGCTCAGTCTGTACCCATCTTCTCGGTTGAAGTTGTGTCTGTGTTTATGTATCTGGATGGCTTCATGAAGAAATCTCTGAAGGTAGCCGGTGGGTTTGCAGAGTACCTTCGTCTTGCTGGTGACAGCTTCTCTTCACAAGGGAGCAGACATCATGCTGCTCGCAGCAGACATTGCAGCTGTCGCGATTTTCACCTAAAGACGGGCGCTTGTGTTGCGTTCGAAACGTTGTGATTTATTTTATTTTATTTCTACCTACGTGACTTTACCGAAAGAACCAAAGAGTATGGATTCCTGCAGTCACGAAAGCTTCAAACCAAGATCCTATCCATTTGTTCCAACAGCTCTGGAAAAAAAAAATCACACGCCCGCATATACATATACAAAGATCCCCTATAGACTTTAACAGACTTTTGGGGCAAGTGCCTTTGTCTTCCTAGTGGCGATGTTTACACATTGCACCAGATAATCGTCACTGTTGTTGACCGTGAGTGGACATCAAACCCGAGTTGCCAGGTTCATGGTTCATAGCGGATTGCGCTAACTACTGAGTTACCGCTCCCTACACACACACACACACTTTTGTTTCCTTATTCCCGTCACTTCGTTGTCCTTAGCTAGTTCCCAGTAAACATGCCAATGTTGCCCAACGTTCCATGTTTGCTGCAGGGTGGCCTCTGAACCTCGTGATTTCACCTCCCTTGCCGTCTCTTCCGTGATCTTCCTCTGCTTCTCTTGCCTCCTCTCGAGATGATCTCCTCTCCATAGGCGATGTTATCTGCTTCTCGTCAGCTGTTCTCATGATGCGTCTTCCTGTCAATATCCACTCCATTTCCTTCAACAGTAGCAGCAGCAGCATCATCATCATCGGCGATTGCTGTCACTTCGCGAATATCTTCAGTCCTTTATGCATCTCTTTGACTACCGTAAAAAAGATACTTATTTCGTTTGCATGCATGTACGTAGAACTTATTTCGCACTGTACGTAGCAAACCGTGCTCATCCGAGGTGCGGGGGAAGGACAACAAACTAAACACAAAACACGTTTGTAAGAGTACATAGCTCCAGTGGCTTGCTAATATCGGAAGGAAGAGCGTTCCAGACGGCCGCAGACGCGCATCTGAATTCGCGCCATACAGTGACCGCCTTTGTTCGATGGCGAGCCAAAAGCCACGGCGAGGATGACCGGGGTTACTGGTTTCCCAGTTGAAGACCATGTATCTTATTCAAAACGTTAAATAAAATCTGTACTCACCATGCACACGTTTCAGATGTATCCGTAGAAAACATACAATATAGGCACATCTTATATTACTAAGCGGTTTAAAGACCAAATGAAGAGCAATCAGTGGGGACGATGATGACGAAAACTATGGCCGCGTTCCAGACGGCAGGGTCTGCCAGGGAGATACGATGGCCATGGTCACTGCTGCGTCGTGTAGAGAGGTGGAGGAGGTTGTTGGTCGCGTTCCTGCCGTTACAGCTGGGAGAGTTCCACCGTGAGTTGGAGTGCAGGGAGACAGGAGAGAGAGAGCAAGGCGAGACACAGGGGCTGCCATGGAGAAACGACGACACCGCCAGTGACGCGTTGCTGTATTCTACGCAGTTTGTCACAAGTCCAGTGAAGTTCAAGTCCAGTGACTGTCATTAACGTTTTCAGAAAACGGCACAGTGCCATCAGTGAATCGCGCACACACAAACGCACGCGTGTAAAATGACCGCCTATTCTCTTTGGTTCTATTGGGTAAAGTCACGTAGGTGAAAATAAAATAACAAAAAATCACGACGTTTCGGCCACAACACAAGCGGCCTTCATCAGGTGAAGGGACGAGACTGTCTGGAGGACAGCGCTGTCCTGTGTTGTGGCCGAAACGTCGTGATTTTTTTTGTTATTTTATTTTCACCTACGTGACTTTACCTAATAGAACCAAAGCGTATGGATCCTAGCAGTCACGAAAGCTTTAAATCTAGAATTGACCGCCTATTGTTGTTCCAGTACCTCCTAAATCATGGCGCGACGTCAGATTCTGAAATCCGTTTCTGGATTCCCGATGTAATTACTCGTAAGTAAAAATTTTGCCTCGTTTGACTCCTCTCTGGGCATTAAAATCGAGAACTCGGCGATCGAGTATGATGCCGGAAATTATAGTAATTGTCAATAACGTTTCTCGGAGTTCGAATGAGCTTTGTTTCAATCCCTCGTGGTTTGGGATCGCATCGTAAGTGTGGCTGTTGAATAGACTCAAACGCATTGTGGTAATATTCTATGGTTCTTTCAGTAAAATCACGTAGATAGAAAAAATAAAAATAAAGTGAATAAAAATATCACAACGTTTTGATCGCAACACAAGCTGTTTTAATAAGCTCTCCGTTATATTATCTCAAATGGATTTGTTTTTTTTTATCTCGAGTATGCGGTGACTGTGGTCACCCAGAACAGGCCATGGGACATAGAACGACTCAGCGTACGAGTTACAAATAGGAGGAAGGTATCGCCAAAGTGATGGACCGCTCCGCTACTCGTGACGCAATCATCTGGCTCAGCTACTTCAATGTAAAAGTATAGTTGTTGCTCAACAGTCATCCACACCAACCTGAGTCAAACAAAGATTATATTTTTCTCCATTGTTTGATTAATCTGTTGCCGGATATATTTCCTAAAAACCTGCTTGTTCTTTTTATTGGTTCGTGTCTAGCACATTGCATCCACATATATACACACGCACGTACATACACACAGACCCCAAAAAAGTCTATATCATTAACATATTTTTGGGAAAAAGTGCTGTTAGCGAGCACCTATGAAAGCGAACACCGCACACGAAAGAGTGGGTGGCCAACACCACGCCTGGCCTCCGTTGTCTCCCCAGTGACGATGTTTACACATCGCACCAGGTACTCATTTGAGGCTGAGTCGACCTAGGGGAGGCCCTGGAAGGGTTCAGATAATTGTCACTGGTGTTGTCCTTGAACGGGAATCGAACTGGGGTCGCCGGGTTCGTGACACAGCACGCTAACCGTTAAACGACCGCTCTCCATATACATATACACAGACATAAATACATACATACATACAAAAACACATACACGACAATATTCGGCTTCACCATGGAAAACCGCACCGTGGGTCCATACGACCACTGCGTCGACTCCTTCTACCACCTCAACTGCAGCTCGCCCACGTTCTCCATGTCGGAGCGCACCGCGGCGCTCAGCGCCATCACCACTCTCATCCTCGCCACCGTCCTGGGCAACCTCCTCATCATCACGTCCATCGCCTACTTCAGGCAGCTGCAGACTCGCACCAACATTATGGCGCTATCTCTGGCCGTGGCCGACCTCCTGGTCGGTCTCACGGTGATGCCCTACAGCATGATGAAGGCCGTGTACAAGTGCTGGTTCTACGGGCAATTCTTCTGCAATCTGCAATACTTCCTCGACTACATGCTGACGAACTCCTCCATCATGCACCTGGGTTGCATCGCCTACGACCGCTACGTGGCCATCTGCGACCCGCTCCGCTACTCGCAGCGGGTGACCAATCACACCGTGGCGACGATGCTGCTGATCTCGTGGTTCGGTCCTGCGCTCTTCTCCTCTCCCATCCTCGTGAACTTCAACCCCGAGTGGTCGCGCGGCATCATCGAGATCATCTCGTGCCCGAACCAGTGCCTGTTCTTCGTGAGCACGTGGCTGGTCAGCGTGGTGGGCGTCTGTCCGTACGTGCTCTCTCTACTCACAATGTCGTACGTTTACGCGAGAATTTACATCGTGGCGCGCAGGCAGGGCCGCCAGATCAGCTCGGTGAGTCTTCAGGTCCATGCCCAGCAGCAGCAGCAACAGCAGGTGGAACACACAAACACTCGACAGAAGTGGACGGCGATGAAACGAGAGTACAGCGCGGCCAAGACACTCGGCAGCATCATCGGGTTCTACCTGCTGTCCTGGCTGCCCTTCTACATGGTGGTCTTGTTCTTCCCCAATTTCCAAAACAGTTCGGCCGCGGTGCGAATCACCACGTGGATTGGCTACATCAGCTCGGCCATCAACCCCGTGCTCTACGCGACTCTGAACCGTCCGTTTCGCAGCGCGTTTGTCGCCGTGATCAGCTGCAAGATGCTTTCCTCCACTCGGGCGAGGACAATGGACCTGTCCGGGGTGAAGTAGCCGATTTCGAGATGCGATGATGCTTGTTTACGCGCGTGGAACACGCGTGTGTGTCTCTGTGGTCGTTTGTGCCTCAAGGTGCACCTCGCCTAGTCCGAGCGCTGTGGTGACGTCACCGTCACATGTGGTGTCTGTCTGTCCGCAGGTCTCTATGTATCCCTCTTTTATCAGTGTCCATCTGCGTATGACTGCGCGCGTCTCTATCTCCGCGCCTGTTTGTTTCCGTCGCCGTCCAATGCTCTCCACCTCGCTGTGTCGCTGTGTCTCCTCGACTCTCTCTGTCAATATCTCTTCGTGCATAAATCTCCGCGTTATTTCCCTGCCCAGTGCAATGCACGCCGGCGTGTCGGAGTCTATATATCAATCTATCTACGTCTGACTTTCTATCTGTCTGTGTCTCTTGGTGCCTTTCTATCAGCGTCTCTGCGTCTGTCGATCTGTATGTTTATCTCTCTGAGTCTCTCTGTCCGTCTGTCCTGTCCACGCTCCACAGTTCTTTGTTATCGATTTCGATTCCCAGCACTACTTCGACCAAAAATAATGGGACATGGCGGCCGACCGTGAGTCTGTCTCCAGACTGAGCGTCAATGTACTCACGGATATCATAGCGCAATTCATATTCGTAGACACAATGTAATATTTAATAAAAAATGAATGTGTGCTCTGCAGTCATCAGCCGTGATCTATCGACTGCTGGATTAACACCTCCTCCCCAAGCTGCCGCCACCTCTCACGATCGTTTCGATGCCACGACCCATCCGGCAGGTGCTCTGCTCATGAACTGATTCCATCGCTCCCTCTCAGAAGTTCGACGTCACTTTGGACGTGTTCCATCCCCTGGCTGCCGCTCCGTTATTAACATCTAAAGCGCCGTCCATCGCTCCCTTTTAGCCATGGGGCGTCCTGCCGGATGTGTGTGTGGATGTCATCACAAATAAAGCAAACTAAATCGTGGCGATGCATGAATGAGTTCCATCATTACCAGCCTGCAAACACTCATTCGGACGATGATGATGAAGGACGCCTGATCAAGAGTCGTAAGGTTCAGCGAGGCATTTTCTGAAAAAAATGCATCATAAATCTTCACATGCTCTGACACGAGACGTCAGTTATCATCAGCATCTTCAGCACGACTGCAACCATCATCACTATCATATCGTATGCGTGTATACACACGTTGGTTACATACTTTGAAGTAGTTCTTGGTGTTAGTGTCAACATCAGCAATGGGAATACAAAGGTGGCCAAGCGGAGCCAGCACCGGGAGTCGTTGTCCAGTCATGAGGTTTACACACACCATACCGGGTAGCCATTTAAGGCTGAGTCGATCTAGGTAGGGCCCAGAAGCAGTTCTAACAATTTGCGCCACTGATGATTGCCGAAGCTTGAATCGAAACCAAATCGTCGGACACAATCGTAGCGCAATGCGCCAATCAATCCACAGACAAAGATCCCGCATATGTTAGCGAGCACCTGTGAAAGCGAACACCGCACACGGAAGGGTGGGTGGCCAGCACCACGCCTGGCTGCCTTTGTCTCCCCAGTGGCGATATTTACCCATCACACAGGTACTTAATTGAGGCTGAGTTGACCTAAGGGAGGCCCAGGACCGGTTCAGATAATCGTCACTGGTGTTGGCCGTAAGTGGGACTCGAACTCGGCTCACTGGGTTCGTAGTGCAACGCGCTAACCGCTGCGCAACCGCTCCCAACCAACATCACTTCCATCATCCTTTTTAGTACCACTGGTACCTACTAACATCAGCATCATCATCACCATCCGTAATCATTACCATCGCTGGTATCTATCATCATCATAACCACTACCACCAAATCCTTAATGGCACATCAAAGTGCCCATTAGGCCAACACGTGTTGCCTGAAATAAATTTCACTATCGTTCAATTTGGTAAATTACGCGAAATCTCATCACATCACAAAAAATATACGCAAGCTGGAAACAGATTTAACAACACACACACGCGCACACAGCCTTAGAACTGACAGTTGAGTTGGGAGGGGTAGCGGTCTAAACGATGACACGGTCACACGTTCAGTTAATTTGAGCTGGTGGTCCGGTTAAGGCTGCTGTTGTTGTATGTGTAGTGCTGCACACCTGTATGTATGTTGGTAAGTAGTTCACCATATATTGTATTTACCTTCAAAGGAAAAACTGAGGACTCCATATCACCTATAAACGTGTAAGCATCCCGAGAGAACCAACCCTAATCCCCAGGTAAATGATTAACTCCACATTGTGATTCAGCAATTTTGATTTCGGGGGGGGGCGGGGGGGTAGTGGGGATGGGGGATGATGAGCGGATGTAGGAGGCAGCTACGTGCACACACACACGTACAAAAAGACAAAGATCGCCCTATAGCGTTATCTGACTGTTGGAGCAAGTGCTTTTAGCGAGCACCTATTAATTCCGGCATGGCACACGAGGGGGTGGGTGGCCAGTACCACGCTCAGCCGCATTTGTCTCCCAAACGGCGATGTTTATACATCGCACCATGTACTCATTTCAGGCAGAGTTGAGTCGACATAAGGGAGGCCCAGGACGGGTTCAGATAGTCGTCGCTGGTGTTGGCCGTGAGCGAGAATATAACTCCTGTAACCGGGTACGTAGCGCAGTGCTAGACACAGCGCCAGGTATATGCATACACCCACACAAAGATACGAACAAAGATCTTCCAATATGTTTTTGGGCAAGTGCTGTTCGCGGCAATGGCACATGATGGGGTGGATGGCCAACACCACGCCCCGCCGCCTTTCTCTCACTTAGTGGCGATGTTTACACAGCACCGGGTACTCATTTGAAGCTGAGTCGATATATACGGATGCAGTGAGTGTGATTGTCACTGTGTGGTGCCTGGCTTTCGAAGCCACTACGGATAATGTGTTGGCATTATGTGTAGCCTGCAAAACTGGGCGTAGTACCAGCCCCAGCGGGGCTTGGGTGAGGGTCAGCCCGGAGGCACCACGTAGAGTGTGTGGTGCGGGCTCCCGGTGAAGGAGCTAGAGGGAGTGTCAGCCAGCCAGGGTTACGTTGGGGCATAATACGCTGGTTGACCTGCCGACACGTGACCGGATGATATTGGAGGGGGGCCACCGGTGGACGGGGCCTGCTTGGTGGTCACGTGGTATAAAAGAGCTCTCGGGAAGCCTTCAGGAAAGACTTCGAGAAAACTAGAAGGTGGGCGGGGAGATAGGCGGAGCCTGCTTCAGCCCAAGCCGATATAACGGGAGCCCCGTGAGGGGCTCGGTGTTCTTCGTGTTGCTGGTGATGAAGATCCACGTCCGGTAAAAGTAGCCTTTAGCCACGCTTGTGGTCTGGGCAAGGATAGCGAACCGTATTTAGTTCTGCCGAAGCGTGGCTAGAGGAGCATTCAACACCCAAATGCAGGATGTTTTATGTTGTGTTGGTTTATTGAATAAATCGTGTTACTCCAAAGCCAAGGTCTGCGACTCAGTTAACCTCACTACAACTACATACCATGGACGTACGGTTAAAGGAGGCATGGGATGCACAGCCTCACCTGTCATACTCCAATGGAAATAGCTGTTCCGAAAAGTAAAATTTAATAATATTTTTCCACTGATCTTTGTTGTCATTTCTGTATGATTCCAATTACATTTATAGTCAAAATCGCTAAATTTCTGCTGCATATACAGGTAGAGACGAGAGGCGAGGTAGCGAAGAGCTCAGCCTCCCCTCTGAATGCGCAAACCCTGAGAAACTGTATGGAGCGCAGGCAATAAGCGCGTGATTGTTACTATCTCTCCGTCATATTTGGTATCATACAGAAATGACATTTATAACACAGATCAGTGGAAAAGTCTTTATTTGTATTTTATTTGAATATTTTTTGTTACTTTTCGTAACAGCTATTTTCATTGGAGTATGACAGGTGAGGCTCTGCCTCCCCTGCCTCCCCTGACCGCACGTCCCTGGTACAAAGATCCCCCGTATAGCCTTAACAGACTGTAGGGGCAAGTGCTGTTAGCGAGCACCTTTGAAGGCCGGATCGATACACGAGGGGGTGGGGTAGCCAGAGCCACGCCCGACCGCCTTTGTCTCCCCAGTGGCGATGTTTATACATCGCACCAGGTATTCATTTTAGGCTGAGTTTAGTCGACATAGGGGAGGCCCAGGATGGGTTCAGATAGTCGTCGCTGTTGTTGACCATGAGCGAGAATCTAATTCATGTCACCGGGTACTAGCGCAGTGCTAAACATGGCGCCAGGTGTATGCATACACACACACAAAGATACAAACAAAGATCTCCCAATATGTTTTAGGGCAAGTGCTGTTCGCGGCAACGGCACATGATGGGGTGGATGGCCAACACCATGCCCCGCCACCTTTGTCTCACTTAGTGGCGATGTTTACACAGCACCGGTTACTCATTTGAGGCTGAGTCGACCTGTACGGATGTAGTGACTGTGATTGGTACTTTGTGGTGCCTGGCTTACGAAACCATGGCAGATAATGTATTGGCATTATGTGTAGCTCGCTTACTGGGCGTAGTACCAGCCCTAGCGGGGCTTGGTTGAGGGTCAGCGCTGAGGCACCACGTACAGTGTGTGGCGCGGGAGCCTGGTGATGGAGCGAGAGGGAGTGTCAGCCAGCGAGGGTTACGTTGGGGCATGATACGCTGGTTGACCTGCCGACACGCGACCGGATGATATTGGAGGGGGGCCACCGGTAGACGGGAGTGGCTGAGCGGTCACGTGGTATAAAATAACTCTCGGGAAGCCTTCATGAAATAGCTCGAGAGATGTAGAAGGTGGGAATGGAGAGGGGCAGAGCCAGATCCAGCCCAGGCCGATATAACAGAGCTCCGTGAGGGGCTCGGGGTTCTTCGTGTTGCTGGTGATGAAGATCCACGTCGGGTAAAAGAAGCCTCTAGCCACGCTTGTTGTCCGTGCCAGGATAGCGAACCGTGTCTATTTCTGCCGTAGCGTGGCTAGATGAGCATCCAACACCCAAATGCAGGTTGTTGTTGTGTTATGTTGATTTATTGAATAAATCGTGTTACTCCCAAGACAACGTCTGCGACTCAGTTAACCTCAATAAACCTATATACCATGGACATGCGGTTAAGGGAGGCAGGGGATGCACAGCCTCGTCTCTCATACTCAAATGAAAATAGCTGTTCTGAAAAGTAAAAAATAATAATATTTTTCCACTGATCTATGTTGTCATTTCTGTATGATTCCAATTACATCTATAGTCAAAATCGCTAAATTTCTGCTGCAAATACAGGTAGAGACGAGAGGCGAGGTAGCGACGAGCTCAGCCTCCCCTCTGAATGCGGAAACCCTCAGAAACTGGATGGAGCGCAGGCAATAAGCGCGTGCCTGTTACTATCTCTCTGTCATGTTTGGTATCATACAGAAATGATATTTACAACACAGATCAATGGAAAAGTCTTTATTTGTATTTTATTTGATTATTTTTCGTTATTTTTCGTAACAGCTATTTTCATTGGAGTATGAAAGGTGAGATTCTGCCCCCACCTGCCTCCCCTGACCGAACGTCCCTGGTACAAAGATCCCCCGTATAGGCTTAACAGACTGTAGGGGCAAGTGCTGTTAGAGAGCACCTTTGAAGGCCGGATCGGTACACGAGGGGGTGGGGTGGCCAGAACCACGCCCGACCACCTTTGTCGCCCCGGTGGCAATGTTTATACATCGCACCAGGTACTCATTTCAGGCTGAGTTGAGTCGACATAGGGGAGGCCCAGGACGGGTTCAGATAGTCGTCGCTGGTGTTGGCCGTGAGCGAGAATCTAACTCCTGTAACCGGGTATGTAGCAAAGTACTAAACACGGCGCCAGGTGTATGCATACACCCACACAAA